AAAAAAGTATTTCATCGAAAATGTATCTCTTTCTTTAAAGAATATAATTATAAAATTATTTGTTCCAAGTAAAGTAAGAAGCAGAAATTAGAAAACGGAAAAGAAGAGGGGAAAAACGGAAGAAACAAACGAAGAGTTGATATATAACTCGGTTTCTTTCTTAGTGCCCTCTTCTCTACCGTTTCTCGTCCGTTTAGCGACATTGTTGAAAGGTTAATGGCCAATTGCCTGAAGAAGTCGACATCAGAGCATACCTGCCCCTTCCTTCCCTTATGAGAGTCGCAGAACCGTTTTTCCACGAGGACGAAAAACACCGCGAGAGCAGGCTACGTGACTGTTGTGACTCTTGACGAACTCTCTCTCTCCCTCTCTCCCTCCCCTCTCTCTCTTTCTCTCGTCGCTAGTTAATTCATTCCCGGCACGTTTGAATTGAGGACGTAACAACCTGTGTATAAGGACCGCGAAAAGAAGTGCGAACGAGAGGGAAAGTGGTTTACGCTCTTGCGCGAGATAAAGTACACCGATACCTCCGATATTTTTTCTATACATTACACGAAAAATATTTGTTGGATTTATCAGATTTTTATGGATTTTTTTATAAGAAAATTTAAATTTTTATTTGAAGTTGGGAGGATTTTTTTTCAAATTAAAAAATATTTATTTTTAAAAGGATTCATTCGTGTAAAAATGTATCGTATGTAAATAGAAAAATTATCATAATTTTTATCGAATGGAGAATTTTTTTAAAATTAAAATTATCTTAATTTTAAAAGTATGGATTTTATATGTCTTTTGTATTTTTTATAATGCAGAAAAATATTATCGAGAAGAAATTTATTACTTTTAATTTCGACAAAAAGCTTTGTTATTACGTATAATTTATTAATCTAAAACATTTCTCGTGATCCATTTTTCAAATCTGCTTTTAAAACATTTTTTAAGGATTTGAATTATATATTGAAAAAATAATGAAATTTCTTCTCAATTCTTCCTCCCTAATATTTATGAAACTAATCTTTTCCTTAAAATCAAACAAAAAAACTGCATCATTATTATTATTTTAACCCATACGTAATTAAAGGTAAAAAATTATTTAATTAAAATTACTTAAATTTATTTCATTAATATTCATTAACCACTAAAAAAATATTTGTTCATTATATATATATATATATAAAATTGTGTACTTTTTATAAGAGAAAGTCAAATTTTTATTACCAAAAAAAAAAAATTTTAAATAAATATTTACTTTACTCCTCAAATATTATTATCCACACTATATTTTGTCTTTTTTCACATATCATCTGCATTATTTAAATTTTAAATTTTTAATTTTTAATATATATAGTTAAATAATTTTTAGATATATAAATGTAATATAATATCTGAAGCGATATTTTCGTTCCATTTCGAATTTATATATCAACACCTCGTAGAACAATCGAAAATTGAACGTGTTGATCTCAGAACAGATCGAATCCTCCTTCCGCGTTGACAACATGATCTCGCCTCCCAGCGGAGTGGAGGAACTGTGAGGGATAGGTGGAAAGGGATTATACTCACAGCTCTGAGGAATATTCGAAACCCTGTCTTTCCAGAAGTTGAATCGACCAAGATTTTCCTTCTCGGGCTTTCACTGTTGAGATATGTTCGAGAAAAATTCATATTCGTGGGTATAATGCCTCTGCATAATGAAAAATGTCATAGTTGTCATTAAAAAGAAATTTTCCAAGCCTTCCTTCAAATTTAATTACAATTGATCACGGAAGTGAAGGGCATGGAGATTTCGAAATTTTTTAATACTTGAATACTTGCAGTTTATAAATGAAATTTTTTTGGATTTAATTTAAATTTATAGATAAAGAGAATTTATAAATATTTTATATATTTTATCGAGACGTAAATTGAATCCAAAAAGACTTCAGAAGAGAATATTAATGAAAATAATGAAATCGTGAAAGAGGTGTGAAAGGCTCGAAGAAGCGAGACAAATTTGGAACAAAATTGGAAGATGGAAGAATTCTATTGGATTAAGAAAACTAGACGTGACTAAACTTTTATTTGGAGAAACGAGGTGTCACGTGTATTGACCTATAATAAAGATAACGAAATACCGAAAGTTCACGTTATATAGCGTTGGCCAGCTGGCAAAAATTCTCAGAGATATCGATACCATTACCATTTCCGTAACCCAAAGTCGTATCGAAATGGAACACTCTTTGATACGAGCCTCTGGAGGTACGTAGTCGCTCTTATAGCCATCCAATATTTTCTATCTTTGTCTGTTCCCCAAGGTAGTCAGACCGTTTGTCACCGATTGCAAAGAAATATCGAGAAACGATACTAAAAAATCTCGAGAATCTAAGCTTTTAAAATGGTGGTGATCGAGTCATTTCCGGTTTCATATGCGGGAATGAAAACGCCTCCAGAAATTAATTATACGAAAACTTAACGGACATTCTACATTTCAAGTAGATGAAATTCCAACGAGTTGGTCTCAGAGACGAGAACGTTTCAAATCGATTTGAAAGTAAAAATTCTAATATGTCAAAGTTCTTAAATTATATTAGACAACTTTAAAAAGTTCTACATATCGAAATTAAAAATAAAAGTTTAAAAATATAAAAAAATATCGGTTTAAAATACAGTTTATTGTAAGTTGATATTAGAGCCTGTGCGTAAGCAACCAGTTTAACTTTCTTGCGATACGAAGACAAAGAGATTCCAAACAATTTGAAAGTAAAAATTCTGATTATATTATATCGAAATTTTTAGATTATATCAGCTACAACAGTTTTTAAAAGTTAATTCTATCGAAATTAATTGAAATTAATGTGAAAATTAGATTATAAAAATATCGATTGCAATTTATTAACTTATTTATAAACTGATGCTAGAAACGCCTGTACGTAGGCAACCGGCAACCTGGCCGGTTAGTTTCCAACCAGTAGTTAAGTCTGAAATAAAGTAGACACTGCGTCGAATCTATCCAGCCAATCGACGAATATCGAAATTTGAATGATTTCTATATTCCCTGAATTCATGCTTATTTATGTGAAACCACGTGATAATTTCATCAAGACGTGTTCTCTCATTACGTGTATATGTTGCTATAATTCAATTCAGGTTCCAGACACAGGCGTGTCCATATCCATGGATCTTGAGAATCTGAGATATGCTATCGGTTAATGGGTCAATGCCGTGGGCATTTACACTTGGTTTAACCCTTTTGCAACGGTTTATTCATCCTCGGTGACCTTTGACCACCGCCGATGAACCGACAATTTTTTCCTCGCCATCGAGAAAATTCTCAATCCTTCGAAGAAAATATTTTTTGAATATATTTCATAGAAATGAAATTGCACATTGTCGATTATTTCATTAAAAATATGGAAGATACGATTTCGATATTTATTCCGATAGAATCCTTTTATTCTATTCCATTAATTTTTTCGCTCAGACTCGACGCATATGACTTTTCGATTGTATTGTTCGTTGTTGGAAAGAAATGCGATATTGAGATTATACAAAAGACTATAACAGATACGAAAAAATATTATTCGAAATAAAATTATTATTTAAATTAATTTTATTCGAAATTTAATTAATTAATTAATTTTTCAATAGTTCCTTAATATTTAACTCTGAGTTTCACTCTGTCATTTCATATCTTTTGACACGTATTATGATTATTAATTAAAGATAGTCACAAAAATTGACGATGGATATATCATTATCGTAGATAAAGTGAAATAGAACGATAACTTTACAACATTAATCTTCCAATCAAAGAAATTTTGTTTATAAATTTTGCTTGTTTATAATTGACTAATAGAAACAGTGCTGTGTAATTATTCTATTTCACTCTGTTTCGATGTATCTATCGTCGATCTTTGTCACTTTCTTCGACCAATAATAACAATTCTGATGGCAGGAGAGGGGGAATGGAGTGTATACTTTGCCTAGTCATGTTCCTACGAACGCACAGTACACATCACATTTTCAACTCGAGAAACGAGGAAAAATATATAATCGCAAAAAAGTCGGTCGTGTGCACTTTAAGTTTGAAGGAAGGCCAATTAACGTTCGGTTACTTCACACGTGTACCGTGAATCCAAACAAACGCGATAAAAGGCACAGAAACAGATATCGTAAAATACACGCTTCTCATCCAATTATATTAATTAAATATCCCTCGACGAGGTAGAAAAGTGAACAACAACGATACAACAATGTTCCGTTAACGATATTTGCGAATAATTTGCAAAAATCGTTTCTCCTTATTTATCATCTATTTCATTAACGAGTATAATTATAATTATATTTATTCTTGTCGCGTATACTGATATTTATCGCGTTTGTAATTAAATATTATCATTTTAATAATTTGAAGCTTCCAAATGTAAGCGATGTTGTTTTATTGTTTATTAAAAATTCATCGCACTCGCCACACGTGATTGCTCTTTTCTATCATTCTATCATTATCGAATAAACATCGAATAATCGTTGTTTCATCAATTTGTATAAATAAGGATGCAAAAGTCAATAGACAAGATGTAAGTAATCATTTTACACAGGCTTATACTATGTCCACTTTTCGACGGCCTCCGCGTGTATCAAAAGGGTTAAACCGTGTAACGAAGCGGAATCTACCATGGTCATCGCGAGTAATCTCGTTATACGGAGGTAACTTTTATCTCTCTACACTTGCCGCAGTTACGTAAAGTTATTAGCTTGACCTATTTCCGCAACGAGGAGAAACAGAGAGAGAGGAAGGAGAGAAGGGAAGTACGAAAGAGCACGCACTCGGAGAAAATCCCATAAATTCTTATGCAAAACGTCGTTGAATCGATTCGTCTCCGTTTCCTCCTCTCGCTCTCTGTTTCCCTCTGGTTCATCTATCCGTGCGCAGTGAATCGACGAAGGAAAAGACTCGTTATTCGGTGGAATGATCGATCGATTGGAAAAAGAAACCAAGCAAAAGTGTAGCAGTTACTCACGTTGACTGCTGCTCCGTCGTATGATGTTCTCGAGGAATGTGTTTTGCGGGGCGACCAGGCCCCTGCGCCCCCCTGGCATCCTTTCTTCCTTGAATGATCCCGGATCCTGGTCGCTGCGGCTATCAGGATCTCGTCCAGCCTCTGGCTACGACGAACACGTGCTGTTTTCCTCGCCTCATGTCCAACAACGACAACCTTCTTTCATCGATCACCCCCTTCTTCTCTCCCCTCTTTCCTTCTATCTTTCTTCTTTTATCTACTACGCTGCACAAATGCACACGCGCAACAACGTGGGGATGCACACGATCACTAACTGAATGTCATGATCCGAGGATAGTTCACCATTGTGGTATCGGCCGTAATATCACTTGTCGGCGGTTTCACATCCGCCTGGAACTGGTCCAAACGAGAACAACCGCTGTGGCGATCTGCTTTATCCCTTACCAAACACACACTGTGCTATTATCAAACGTCAACCAATTGTCCCGTGCACATTCGCATTTAATCCTTGCCGAGTTAGTTCGCACGATCTATAGTGTGACGGATCTTCAAACTCGTGACTCCACAGTCCCTCGATCTTCCACGATCTTCACGATTCTCTAGCGCGATGTCCAGTGTTTTCTCTCTTTCTCTCTCTCTCTCTCTCTCTCTCTCTCTATATATATATATATACATATACGTATATAATACAAAATACACGAATCAGATTGGAAAGAAAAATGAGAAGGGGAAGAAAAAGAACAAAGAAAGAGAAAAATACAAGAAAGAAGAAATACAATAAAACGTAAAACGCGAATTATCCAGAATGAATCTCGGACGATTTCAGGATCCTCCTGGTTGCAACCTAGACGTCTCTATCGTCACCTGAACACGAACGGTCCTCCGTTGGTCCAAGCGTTCGCACACCTCCTCCAGCTTGTCGCGTGCCCCAGCTCCGCGTCCTTCGTGGATGTGGCCAGTGATGAGGGAGGAGCTGGTGTTGGGCCGTGGATCTTCGTCGTGGACGAATAAACGGGTGGCGGCCGTGAAGAAGGGGATACGAATGAGGAGGTGGAGGGGGGCGATGATCCGGATTTATCGAGGCACCGACCACGACAACGATGGGCTCGCGGAAGTGTCCTCGGCTGGTGGACGCACGATCGATGACCCATCTAACCGCAGTCCTTCCAGGTGATCGCGCGCGCTATCACGGATACCCGACGGCAAGTAATTAGACGACTGCGCGCTACCTGCCACCTCGTTCTCCACATCCTCGGCGTCCTCCTCGGCGTCGGTGCAGCTCGTGCCCGCGGAGGAGGACATCCCTTAAACAGGGGAACGTAGCCGGACAAGAATTGTCGATCACATCTTCATCGTTCGATTTCAGGATCGACGCGATCTTCTTCCTTGTATCGTGGATCTTTCTTTAGCGTGTCGAGTTCGAGGATGATTCCGATGATTAAAATTGGGAAAATTAGAATTTTTCTTGGGCGAAGAAAATCTGCAAATGAAAGAAAATAAAGGATATTATTGTTCTGTTTAAAAAAAAAAAATATAATTATTATTGGAAGAATGTTAGAATGTAGTACGAGTTTGTATTTACACGAAACAGCGATCTACGGGAAGGAGTTAATGTAAAAATGCATCCATGGTTGTTGTTTCTCGAGCTTTCAGAAAGACGAGAATAATTGGGTCGGAAGTATTTGATCGACGATAAAATTCTGTTCAGATACTGCACCACCATCGTGAAACGTTTTAATGGTTGTCACACTCGAAACGAACGTAATAGGAAGGTTCTGTTTCTCTACTTTTTTTTTATTCGATAATAAAATCCAACACGAAGAAAATGACACATAACGAAGTAATCCACGGAAGAAAAACTGTAGAAAGTTTCAAATAACGAATTAATTTTATATAGGCTATGTATCGATATGACGCGTTTGTTAAAAAATCTCAAATTCTTAACCTATTCCTTTTCTATAATAATAATACGTAATATTTGGTAACAAAATGCAAGAAAAATATATATTTCCGATTGAAAAGAAATATAACATAAAATTTTTTTCAATCAGCGTCCTTTAATGATGTAACGTTTATTCACCGATCATTCTCGAAGCTAAAACGTTTTTCGAGTGCATGCTCTCGAATCGATCGTATTTCCGAAATATTGAAGGTTTGTGGCCCACCATTTTCAGGTTAAAGTGTTGAATCAGTTGAAAATTACTACGATACCTTCGAATTATCGAATTTTAACAGTGATGTGGCTTTCGTAAACGATAATTACGTCGAATTGTTTCACGGCAATTGTTCTCCTTTATTTTCACACGTAAACACATTTACACAGTACGAACGTCACCTCGTCCTGCCCGCCATAATTAGTAATACTTGACAGACAGTGGCGCCACTGTCCGATTATCGATCAAGTATCGATAAGTTACGAACCATTGCTGACCGAGATCGATTCTAGTAAGTTTGATCTAACCTTAATGTGTAACACGCATAGAAAAATTATTTTAAAAAAGTGTGTAATGTTAAAAGAAATATATATAATTAAATTAATACAATCACATTTAACGTTCTTTCATTCTTTTCTTTTATTATTATTATATTAAAACGTCATCTTGAAATTTTTAACGATATTATATATCAACTTGACAAACACCAAGGTTTGAGATTGAAATAAACGACAGTAGTCTTACTACTTGTTATTGAAACGAGTGTTTCAAAGTGTTTCTATTTCTATCGAATGTCAATACAATCAAAGATTAAAAATAGAAAAGCTGATGCAGGAGCAAGTGATTTTTCTCGAAAACGAACATTCCTTTAATGTTTCGCGAACAATTGCAAGATATATCGACTGCAACTTAGCAAATTCGAAGGATTTTTCAATCGTATCTCAGTTCGAATGAAATTCGAACAGGCTCTCGCTCTCGGTCCACTCGAGGGAAAGATTACTTTTCCTCTTTTCGCGTCGCTGTCGCCATACTGGATCCTTGCTCGGTATCCTTTGTTCTTTCAATCCTCCTGTCATTGGGAATATCGATAGGACCCGTTTCGAAAATTGTTTCTCATACATTTTTCCTTGTATCCCTTCGTTTCTAAAAATAATTTCTTATTCGTAAAATAATATTACAGAATTTGTAATTCGATTATTCATCTAACATTAAAAATTTTCTTTGTTCCAGTACTCGAGTCGAAATTAACCTAATCCACCATTAAATAAATAAACTGAGAACACGACGGAGAGTGCCTATTCTCCATCGAATGACGAAAAAAAAAAGCAATAAAGAAGACAAAGACAAAGTGTCTCTAAGGTGGCTCGACCATCTAAAAGCAACTATTCTACACGTTTTTCAAGAATAAGTAGCCGTCCCCATGGGTTTTGTCCGCGAGCAAAGAAAGCATCGAAGTAAAGAGAATCGATGATACCCTACCACAGAAGCAAGTACCACGATCAGCCTGCAAGTAACCCGAGATAAGAATAAGGATCGTCCAGAGAATTGGTGAAACTATACGATTTTTATTCCTCCAAGATTCGCTCTCCTAATCCTTTTCTTAATTTTTATTCCATCTTTAGAAAACGAATCCAGATCGGACCAATCTGATTCCTCGCCTGGATCTCAACTGTGAAATTCAAATTATCCAAAGTGACACAAAAGTGAAGAAAATAATATTAAATGATCGAGTATGCGGGAATATTAATTTTGAAAATTCTATTAAAAGAAAGGTAAAAGAATCTTTTAAAATGTTTGCCTTTGAAACTTCCCTTGGAATAATAATCGGTATAATTTACAGAAAACGGAGATATTTTTCGATGACAAACTATGAGAAATCAGAGACAACGGTTTTCCATTTTCCAACGATCGGTGTTGCCCTCGTCGCCGACACGGGAGAGTCGTACCGGAGGCGACACTTCCGGGAGATCAGCTTGTCGCTGGGGGGAGTGGCGAAGCGCTGTTGGAGGAGAAGGGGAGGGAAAAGACGAAGGAAAAAGGGCAAAGACCGTGGCGGAAGAAAGAGGTGACCCGGATTTCTTTGCTTCTTTGCACCAGAGAAAAGCGTATCTCAAGGTGGCCCATCATTTTTCGTGAGGGGAGCTTTTGGCACCACGGTTGCCAACCCTCCCCCTCCTTTGTCCATTCCGAATGATCGATCGATCCGAACTTTTATCCTTTTATCCGCGATGGAGGATGGAGGAAAACAAAAAGGAGAATGCGCATAATAATCACTTCAATGTTATTCTTATATACACGATATAATAGTATTTTTACTAATCTTTCCATTTCTCACAGGATCAATTTCTATGGCCCTACTTCGTCCACTTTACCTATGGAAAAAGAGAAACCTATCTGTTCAACTTAATTGAATTCACGCCCTACGAGTACAACGGGAGGAGCAATTAAAAGAGCGATAAAGTGGCCTTTTGGGGCAAGCACTGAAAAATGTTCATTTTCCTCGAAGAAGATCGTCTTTATCCGAGATAGAGAGAGTGGCCACTTTCTTCGTAATGATAAAACGAATCAGAAGTCTGCTCCGACACCGGCCAATGCTAAATCCCGCGTACACGGAATTGGGGAACTGTTTTCGAAACTTTCGGCCGGCCGACGGAGTTGGAAGAAGTCGGTGTTCCGTTTCAAAGGCGTCGGCGATCGATTGACCTTCCCACTTTCCTCCACACTGGGCTGCGTTTTCGGCCTTACCTTGCACCTGCGGGAAGGCAAAGGGCAAACGAGATTGACAGATTGATAAATAGCTCAGAGAAACAAGAGTGATATTAATGAGTTATATTAACACGTAAGAAAAGGGTAAGGAATAAAATTAACGTATTTCATTGGAAATTTTAGTCGAAGTAGAGATTAATATATATATATATATTATATTATATTTATATTATATATATATATATAGATTTTTTAAATAAGTTATCGTTTCCGTTAATTCAGTTAAAAAAAAAAAAGAGTTATTTGAGTATATGTATTAACGACACCCTTTTCGAAAATTTCGTCCGTGTTAATTGTACTTTATCTTGTATCATCCCCCACCGATCCGTGCGAGAAGACATGTTGCAATTGAAAAGTTCGCAGCTCCATCGGTAAATTCGTAACGCGGAATGACGTCAGTGAGCGCGCGCAAATGCCCCTGTTTCGCGATCCGCAAACGTCGTTTTCCGCGATCCGTGCCACGGGGGCACCGCCATCGTAAAGCCATTTCGGGGATCTCGCGACATAAATTATAAAATCGACCGACGCCAGATCGTCTGTGCAATGGCCGGCATGTAGGACGCCGCAGAAGAATATTCTCTTCGTTTGTTCTTTCATATTATTTCATATTATTCTGACCGTTGCTTTCAGATATTATACATACGGATCTCGATCGATAACTATGGAATCATTTGGGGAAAAATTTGTCAAAATGATTTCCACGCATTTTTCTTTCCGTAAATTCAGTAACGAGAAAGAGAATGGATATAGAAAATGAGAGTAAGTAAGTAATACGTTTGATAACTTTTGTTTAATAATTTTGTTTCGTTGCGTGTAATTTTTTAGATCGTGCAACGATGTAAAAGATGGAGTGAAAAATTGCAGAGGGAAGAGGATTGTAGAGGTTGAAAGAGAAGGATTAAAGATCCTTGGAAAGAAGGATGAGAGAGGTTAGGTGTAAAAGAGCAAAGTGGAAAAGACTGCCGGTGCAACAGATCGGTGAA